GGATCATTAGTCTGTAGATACTTCCGTGCGGTTCGGGTGCAGGCTCTTAAGGTCTGGTTGTTTAGGCTTTTTCCAGGGTTCAATGTTCTCGTAGACTAGTAGACGCGCCTTAATTGCAAAAGCTGGCGCCCGCTCCGCCAAACCCACGTTGGGCATTTGAAGGAATCTGAACTGAGAACTAGAACTAGGTCAGAGTTGAGTACGGCGTACGGTTTCTCATGCTCCTCTACTTACAACCCAGTCAGGAACTCAAGCTAACTCCAATATAACCCTATATGGGTGGTTGTCAAATTATGGTCCCTTTTGGGGTACCCTAAGTATTAGGTGCCGCATTCTAATAGGGATCCAAAAAGGAACCATAATTTTGACAACCGCCCATATTGTACCCCTGCTATAATCTACTAGTTTCCATTTTCTTTTCCATTATTCGAATACATAACCCAAATATTATACCCCAATATAACCCCTATATAACCTACTATAGTAATTTCCATGTTCTTTTCCATTATCCCTATATGATTAGGAGGATCCCAACATTGAACCGCAGAAGATCCACCCTAAACCCTAAGCCCCTAAACCTACCAGACGAAGGTCAAACTACAGGATTTGCAGCAAAGTCATCCTTAAAGAGCTCCAATGCTTTCTAGAACTTACTTGGGGGGTTCCCAAAATTCCAGGTACTTTTATAGAGGAACTATGAGGCAACATAGGGATATTTATAGGGTGTAGGGTTTCCCAACATGAGGGGTACCTAATTTTGTGGGTCCCCGCAAAAAGGATTATAGTACTTTGGGGTCCCCATATTTAGGGGACTACCACTTCTCCTGTTTTGCTCAGATGGCGGTCTGATGGTGTAAGGTCTGTGGATATCCCCTTTAAATCTGTATGACGAGCATCCTAAGTTCACCTAGTTGCGCATTTCCGGTCAGACTCCTAGAAGCCTAAACCCTAGAAGCAAGTTGATATAGAGCCCCGCCAATCCTGGAAAGCTTAAATCCCGACACTTTAGTCCCGTGCCGAGCACTTTAGTCCCTGCAAGTCTTAATTAAACCTCAAAAGCCTTCAGCCCTAAGACACGTCAGGGCCAATTTGATAGTTTCTCAAAATCAGCGGAGCCCCAATATGGACCCAAAAATGCTATAACCTTCCTTTAGGGACCCACAACAAGGCACAATTTAATTTTGGGAAGCTCGCATATATTCTCACAGCCCGGATGCCTCAAAACGCCAGTACCATCCTTGCAGCGCTCAAGGCCCGGGTGTCTCGGCACCAATGAGTCTCACGCTCAAGCAGTCTGAGAGCTTCTTCGGGATATATGGGATTTTCCAAAGGGGACCAGTATCGACCCCAATACTGTAATCCTTGCCCTAGGAACTTCCGAAAGGGGACCACTAAGTAGGGATGTGAAAGGAATTAAAGTTTGTAGGATACCTAAACCTAAACCCTAAACTAAAAGTGGGGAGCCAAAATCTGGGAAATAGCTGGGATGGAGCTCCAGGATGCGCGGAGCCAGATTCCATAATACAAGGATGATATAGGGCATAGGGATATAACCCCAATGATTACTGGAAAGTTTAGGTTTTAGGGTTGAACTGGATGTTTGCGAGCCCAGTGCGCGCGAGCCTAGATGCAAAAATGGAATTGGAAAATGCAATGAAAAAGCAAGTTGCGTTTCCATTGAATTGTCCATGTGCCTTTCCATGTGATTTCTTGGGGCTATATACCCTATATCATCCCATCATTTGGACACTGCAGTGTTGCTCATTTGTTGTTTGGCATGGTCCGACACTGCGCTGAACAAATGTTCAGCCTTAGAAACGCAAGCTCTCTACGTAGACTCACTGGTGCTTAAGGGGGAGTGGGGGGAGAAACAAGGGACCGTTGTACACCGGACTCGAGAGCGCAGAGAGAGAGAGATAGAGTTACGTATAGATTGAGATTATGCAGGCATCATCATAAGTATCCACTCCCCCACTCTCCCTTAGGCACCAGTAAGTAGATGCTTGCGTCGAACGAGCTTAGGGGAGAGTATACAAGTGCGAACACCAAGCTCAGGTCAGCCGACCTCCCCCGGAAGCACGCGACATGCCAGGGTCCTACCTGCCAGGTCGTACTGCTGGTGTAGGATTTAGGGGTTTAAAGTTAAGGGTCCTGGATCGGTGACACTTCTACAGGGCGGTAGTTATCAGTATCAAAGGAGAACTATGTCGACCTCATGTGTCCCTGCTACCCTTATATGAGAATTGTGTGCTGTACATACTGCACTCTACAGGGGTATCCAAGTGGTGAAACAGGGAATCCCCAAATCAAGCTCGACACGTTACATACTGAGTTTCAATAGAATGCTTAAGGCGATGGAGCATGTCACGCAGCTCCTGGGCACGTGAAAGCGCACGCAGGGAGTTGATTCCGATGAGGTTGGATGCTGCATCTGTTTGTTCGGCTTCCTGCAGCTGTTACCCTTTCAGCTTGCAATCGACGCCACGGCACCCTCCGTGGCTGCTGAGCCATGACCCTCGGGCTGCCTTGCATTTTTTGGGACATGCGGTAGGTCGGGCTTCGGCATCATACCTTTTCGAGGGCTCCGTGGATCAGGCATTGGAGTTTCTTGGTGTGAGGTCTAGATTGAAAACGCGCCTTTGCTGCCGGCTTCCGACTTATCTCCGGAAGCAGGTGCGATTTCAACAGCCAGTGCATGTACCACCCAGGATTTGCATTCGAAAACGTAAAAATTGAGACAAAGCTTTCGCAGATCGTTTTGCTTGACGGCAGCTCATGTGTGTTCTTCGAATAGGCTTCCACGTCAGTGGAGGAAATCATGAAGCAGTTGTAAGTTTCGGGCTTGCATGTTACTCATCCTGGCCAGGCTGAGCAAGAGCTTGGCAATTTATTTACTTCAGCTGGGCGCAAGGAGTGTTTCCCAAGTATCAGCGACCCCTGAAGCCCTGGCCCGTAAACCTATAATCCCCCACACGTAAATTAACATATATAGACAAATATACGCATATACCTGGTCCCCATCATAGGATGGGACAACAGCGCCAGATTTTTCAAACACCCCAAATGCATCATGAAGTACGGGACTTGCAGCAAGAATATTCTAGTATAGCTATGCAAGGAGTATAAGAGGAAAGCATTTGCAATTATGTGGGCTTGCACCCTAAGGACCCCTCCTGCTTGTTGCTGCTCCCCCAGGCCCCAGCCCATTCCATTAAAACCCCTAGCAATGCAACGCCCAAGTTGCCATCACAGAGCCCGGAACTTGCCTGTTGCTGGTAGAGTGTGAAGGAGCAAGCTTGAATCCTAATTATACGGATAATAGTAATAGTAGTAATAGTAGTAGTAGCAGCGGTAGTAGTAGTAGTAGTAGTAGTAGCAGTAGTAGTAGTAGTAGTAGTAGTAATCGTAATAGTAATAGTAATAGTAATTGTAACTGTAATAGGCATAGTAAGAGTACGTAATAGTAGTAGGAATGGAAATATTAGTAAGAATAGTAATTGTAATAGTATAGCCTGACGGGATGACATCGAAGCCTACAGTCTTAAACAACGAAACCTATTAACGGAGCGACTTGATTGTCGCTCTAAACTGTTCTGTTAAGGAGACCGAACCGACTTTTGGCCCTCACGGGCCTTAGCTTCATCACCTTTCCCTGTGCTCAGGAGGCAGGGTGTGCCCAGCAACCGCGTTTACCCAGAAAGGAGTTGTCACTGGATTAGCTTGTGGGGATAGATGTCACCAAACTATGCTTCGTCTAGGATTCAGGATCTCGACGCTTTACTCCGAAAGGTTGCCCTTTTGCCGTGATTTAATGACATTTTTTGTGGTGGTGTTGTCGGGTGGAGGAGTCTTCCACAACTGCTGTTTGGTTATCAGATACCCACTATGCTTAAGCGGCTTAAGCGACAACAGTTGCAGTAATAAGCTAGCAGCTGGAGGGCCCATAGCATGATTTGCTTGGCGTCTATCGGTGGTGACATGGTGAAACATTGACGGTGACACATTGCAGGCTGCTCGGAAGGCTGCTCATTCAACTTAAGCTGCTGCTGGCACTTCTTTGCGTAAGCTTCTCCAAGTCTGCCGAGTGTTTTCTTCTTCAAAATGTTGATTCTTCGTCTATCTGAAACTGAGGCTTCACAAGTCAGGCGAAACCCGAGAGTCAGGGCTACAGAGTCGATCTACAGTCTACAGTCTACAGCTCCCCGCGCTGCCCTTTGCCCCATTGAGCCTCAAAATCCTTGGATAACCTCAGCAATCAAAAATAATTCTAGAGCTTTCTTGTGTTATTGGCATTGCAAGAACTCTTCAAGCCGTTCCACTGCAGCTAGATGTTTCCACAACCTTGGACCCGAACCAGAGATCCGGGAGTTTGCGAACCCCACGTGGCCAGCAGCCCTTATTTCCTAGGGACTCTCAGGACCCCCACTACCTTTGGCCTTAAAAGTAGTGGGGTACGAGGTAATGGGGGTCCAAGGAGTTCCTAGGATTATTGGCAGGCGGAGGAGTGCGAAGATGCCCAGACAGAACTCCTGCAAGTTGGTCTTGGCTTGCACAAGGAACACGCAAGTGACTTGAGTTGACAACGTGCTTATCCATGTCGTAAACCTAAACGGTAGATGGGCCGTGACACAGAAGTCACAGAAGTAGGGCATCATTTTCAGCTACAGATGATATAGCTTGGGCATGCCACGTTTGATGTCGAGTCTAAATATGAATGGTGCTGCCCAGTTCAATCTAGGCAGAAAGCTGGCGGCCACCACAAGCACCATGGTCTTCCCCTCTTGTTAGTGGGAGCCAAGAATGGATCCCTGCACCACTCCTATGTTTATATATGGGGCGGCCCAAAACTTCTTCCCTCCCTGCTAATCATTTGCGATTCCCCCGACCTTCCTTGTGCTCCTTAAGCATGTGGGTTCAGACATATCCCCTTAGCCTTCGGGCGAGTTTGTCTTTGACATCAGAAGCCCTCCGCCGAAGACAAGCCGCCTGGCCCTGTGCAGGAGGATGAGCAGAATGAGGCAAAGATTCCTAGCTTGCAGCGTCTTGGCTTGTCTTCAAACAAGGCAGCTTCTATTTGCGTAGGGTTTGTGTTGGCTATGTAGGATGTTCTTAGGGGCTATCCTAAAACCAGTCGGCTCCATATCGGTATTAATAGGATTCCATAAGAGGTGAGGCTCAATTTAGGCAGCAGTATGCGTGATCCAACTCCTAAGCAGGACCCCCAACCCCCAAATTCTGCAGGGGGTCTTTGGAGACCAGATTTCTGGTCATGATATCCAGATACCTTGGTGAAGGGGTCTGCTGTTGCAGCTTGAGTAATTTTCAACACTTGTTGTGTGCACCCTTGTATAAATCTACCAGAGGTCACCCAAATTATTCCTATCCTGGTCCTCGTAGTTAGGCCCAGAGCTGTGTAACAGCAGTGTCAGTGTATAGCCCTATTCCAACTGCTTAGCATGTTCCTGCCTGACAGTTACCGGCTAGTTATTGAGGATCTATGGCTATCTTAAGCGGTGTGCTTCCATCCTGAACAGCGCCATCCAACGTACAGTTTGCCTACTTAGCTAAAGGTACTAGCCTGAATGCTTTGTCCCTAAAGGCTTCATCTTATGTACGCCCAAACCTGTATTCTACACATTTGGGCCCCGACATTGTGCCCTTCAATTGAGCTGAGCCATGGCGCAAGGTACACCGACTGCTGGAACTATACCTTGCCACGCGACGCTGAGGCAAGCCTCATGCCAATGAAGTATTTGAACCCATAACTCACTACACCGCAAGCATGAAATAGATCTTGAAGCATGATCCTCGTTCACATCGCGGAAGTTTCAACCTTTCGGATTAAGTTGAAGGGATTCCTGTCTAGCATCGGGTCTTCATCGCTGGGCTCACAGCGAATTAGCAGAAGAATTCCCTCGCGCCCAATCTCCGCCTTCTTCGACATGTTGCATGATCCCAACAAGGGGCACAAAAGACGACTGAGAGCAGCTCATGCTAGAAGCAGAGCAAAGGATTGCTAGAGCACCGCCCCCCCCCCCTCCCCCCGACAGGAAAAAGTAACCCCAATACACAGTACGATCACAAGTGAGAACATTTATTCTGCTTGGGTGGGTGGTGAGGTTTGTTACTGCGGGAACAGGATCAGTAGTATAAGAAGTTTTGACCGTAGCTCATGTGACACTCCCTGAGTTTCTGCACATGGAATTACTAGAGTATCTTGGGGGAATGTGAGATAATGGAAAAGAGAATGGAAACTGCTATAGTATATTGGGGTAATACAGGGATGGTGGAAAACAAAGTGGAAACTACTAGTTACTAGAGTGTAGGATTCAGCACTACTGCCTGAACCCGAGACCACATGGCAGAACAAAAAAGTGTCCAAGACGTTACACTTTGTAAGTCCTAACGAAACAAATTGGCATTCTGATAGGGGAAGCTGTCAAAGTTGTAGCTTCCTTGAAGACTTGGGGGTTTGCCAAAACTAAGGGTACTCTTTGTGCGGGTCCCTGTAAGAAGGACTATAGTATTTGGGGGTCTATATTGGGGCCCCCTATGTTGCGAAACTACCACTTCTTGACACTCATCCGAATACGTCATTACGGAATGGGGGAAAACACACATAAGGAGAATAGACTCTGCACTGCGTGCAGTCCCCAATATGATCCTAGGGTCAAATACCTTCTCAACACAGAGGTCATTATGAACCCCTCTTGTTCGTTACAAACGGAGAGCATGGTGTCAGGTCTTCCACCTTCATATTCCGAAGGTGGCAGGTGGGCTCTTGCATGCATCCATTTTTGTGCATATGCATTGAACGTCTTCAAGAACCAGTTCCTCCTGCCATAGGCAGGTGTAGGGTTACGGCACGAGCTATTTCCAGATAACGTCAGCATGGCTTCTAGTTGTGATGGCGTCGAATGCTGGCGCAGATTAGCAGGCTTGTGGCCGCCGGTACAGCACACAGATACACGCATCCGACCGATGGAATTCTGCAATTTTGATGCGAGGTCTAGAGTGCGGGCTGTATGGACACAGATAAAGCTGACAGGGCCAAAGACGACAAACAGATGCCCTGTTTACTCGTGTGCTACACTTCATGTTCGGCTGGAGTCTACCCTTGCAAAGTTACATTGTCATGGACTTCCCCATGCTGAGACCGTGCAGGTTCGCGTGGCTATAGCCAACTATAACCCTGAATCAGGCTGCTCCACCGTGCATGATCTGGGCGAGATAATTGGCCGCGAAAACCTGTGGTCCAACGAGAGCCTGAGCCACATTAGCTCCAAGCTGCTCACATTCTCTGAGACTGTAGACCTTCAGTCTTAAGGGCTTTAGGGTTGGGCATTGTATATTATAGTATATTATGGTATATTAGGGGTTATGTCATAGTATATGATAGTATAGGTGTACCGCTAGAAGCCTGCATAGCTCGTCATAGCATGGATTTCAGAGTGCCCCCAGCCCTGATTCCAGCTACGGGGTAGGGCTTGGGATTCCCTCCCTTGGAGTTTAGCCCTTTCTAAGTGTTATATAGGGACAATGGAAAACTACTATAGTATATTGGGGTTTTATTGGGATAATGGAAAAGAAAATAGAAACTACTATAGTATATTGGGGTTATATAAGGACAATGGAAAACAAAATGGAGGTATATTGGGGTAATATGGAGATAATGGAAAAGAACATGGAAACTACTAGGTGCGTGGGACATACCCGCCCGTGGTATGGAAAGGGGACAGAGCGTCTTCGGTGTGTGGAGAAATGTAGCAGGCGTGTGACTTTTGGAATAAAGGCGATTTAAGGTCGAAAAGTGAGCCTCGTCAAAACTACTTTGGCAGCTGAGCTTGCAGAGGAGAGGAGCAGTTTTGAAAGGGCGTTCTAGAAGAGTGCACTGCAAACTACAGCGTCCAGAGGTCTTGAGGCTGCGAATATTTTGAATTCTTGGAGCGGGAGGTCTTGAATGATTACGGCACTGTAAACTGCAGTTCTCACGGGCTACCTCAGCAAAGTACAGCATCTGGGGCTCCGATGAGGCTGCAAATTCGGGCCCCGGGACATGCTGTGAATACCCTATAAACGGTAGTTTTTACTTGCAAAAGAAAACAGCAGAGGGGTCGCTGGAGGCAGCCCTTCCAAACAGCGGGGGGGGGGTTGGAGTGCGCAGCTCCCCCCTTCTGCAAACACATGGGGGAAGATCTGAGCGCAACTCTTTTGATAGGTTGTCTTTGTATTGCGCTTTCATTACCAAAAAGAGCGGGGGTTGTTGTGGCGGCGCAACCCGCCGCATTTGCAAAAACATGGATGAAGTTCAGAACCTGTAGCTTGTTACGCTCCTTTGATAAGACTGTTTGGCATTATGCGTGCAATGTCTTTTCCTGCCTATTCGCAGAGCCTCCAAGCGCTAGGAGTCTTGCGCGTTGTTGCGTTTTGATTGCAAGGCATAGCAATTGCTCCAGAGAAAATCATACGTGGGAGTAGCGGGAGGGGCGCAGTCCCCCCCGGCTTCAGGTGAAAACACGTTGCTTCCGACCACGTTTTCAAGGGATCTTCCAGACATTCTGTTTCGGACCTGTATCGCGTCTATACTATATGTATGAGGGTATTTGTGGGACCCTCACTCACCGCTGCCGCCTAACTCAGCTGCCGTACCGCCGTCACGGCCAGCGCCAGCCAGCCACAGACGTGCGTGTGCTAGGTCGGACGGCTTGAATCACCACCACGCGGGGCTCCAGAACCTTAAAAAACAAGAAAAGCGCATGAAAATACACGGCCGGGAACGTCCCGCTCTCCAATTACCATAGTATATTTGGGCTTCTTACTTACTCTTATTATCTTTTCATATAAGTATAGATATGTGTAGGGATAATGGAAAAGAAAATGGCCACTACAGTAGTACATTGAGGGTTTAGGGTTTTCTGTTTGCTGCATCCTTGGCACACCGTGCAGTTTCCCTGCTGTACTGGGTAGGCTAGGCAGGAGGACATGGAGTCAGGCCTTTTCCACATGAGTTAACAACTCATTCTAGGTTTTGGGCTTGCGACTGGAATATCATGCTTGCGCCGTCATAGTTGCAAGGAAGGGCGCTGGCTTGACTGAGGGCTGTGTCACAATTGATTTAAAGTCAGTTCCATAGAAGAGCCATTGCAATGCCAGAAGGGAAGAGCAATTAGAAGAATAAATAACTTGATGAACGTGCGATCGGAGAGAGAGCTTCAGAAGTTTAGAGGTACCCCAGGGAGAATAGCGGGCAAGAGTGGCCATTTCTTCAAGAGAATCTCATGTCCGTTGGGAGCGGGTTCTGAGAAGTGGGCTGCAAATGGTGCGGCCACAGCTTGCCCGAAGCTGTCAAAATTCAAGCTTCAGCGTGCCAAGTTGCCTCCCTTTTCACGATTTCCTCATCTAACCCAGAAAACTCTCCCCCCCCGCGCATTGCAAGCCCTGATGGTGCTTGGACTCAGGATTTGTTATTCAACATCCAAGATGGCCCATTTCAACAATACCGTCGTCATGATCCGCTGCTGGGATTGAACGTGAAAGTTGGGCTAAGTTCTCATATCTATCCGCGGAAGCATGTGTAGAGTGACCTTGTCATGGACCCTTGAATTCCACAGATTCACGATCACTAAGTCTGCTAGAGTATATTGGGGCAATATGGGGATAATGGAAAAAAGGAAGATGCTATAGTATATTGGGGTAGTATGGAGATAATGGACAATAGAATGGAAACTACTATAGTATACTGGGGTAATATGGGGATCATGCAAATTAAAATGGAAACTACTATGGTATATTGGGGTAGTATGGGGATAATGGAAATATCTATCAAGAAGTCTGGTCCGGTGCTTAGAATTTTCCAGGCATCCTCGAGGAGTTCTGCAGGAACCCCGTGTTTCAGATCCTGAAATGAGCTTGGGACCCCAACAATTGGGGTTTAGGGTTTAAGGTTTAGGCGGGTTTAGGGGATGGTAGAATATGGGTCATAATGGAAAAGAAAATGGAAACTGCTATACTATAACAGGGTATATATTGGGGGAATATAGGGGGTTTTGGAGGTTTTAAGCGAATGGGCCCGGCGGCGCGGGTATCCCACACACTACTTTGAGCATTTGGCATTTACCAAGGCAAGTTGCTGGAAACTGGGCACTGGCAAGTTATTTGCGACCATAGTAGGGTTCTACTGGGATAATGGCAAAGAAAGTGGAAACTATAGGAGTTATGGGGATTATGTAGGGGTTACAGGGATTATGTGGGGGTTATATAGGGGTACCTAAAAAAACTTGTAGCTTCCATTTTGTTTTCAATTATCCCCATATTACACCAATTTACTATAGGAGTTTCCATTTTATTTTCCATTATGCGAAAATTACCCCAATGTACTACAGTAGTTTCCACTTTATTTTCCATTATCCCTATATTGCTGTATTATATTACCCACTTGACCTGCCAATAAGTCCTGCTTGCAGGAGGCAGCGGCAGCAGCAGACCCTTCTCCATAATCCATGCATCTGCTAGCCTCTCCAAAGTACCTATAGCAAGTCTAGTCGGCATCGTCCGATGAGATGTCATCATGGAAGCCATGGAGGTTAAGGGCATTACGCACCAACCAGAATGTGTGGATCCTTTCTCAGAGGGCACGTAAGACAAGTATCATGGACTTGGTACAACCTTATCAAGCCGCTCAGCCTTGCGCCCTTGTGCCGAGCAGTCTGATATAGTCCTGGGTTTGGTAAACTCTAAACCCTAAACCCCAAGAAGTCACAAGTAGAGGGCAGATTGCACCTCCTCCTGTCATTGTACTTCCTCCTGCTGCAGAAGAGGTGCAAGCAACTAGTCCGGTGACTTCAGCAAAGGGCATCGCTCCAACGCATTCGCAAACCACACAGAATGGAAACTCAAAGTGCATTCTTTGACTACTTGGGCTTCTTTTGGGCTCTGGTCCAGGTCGACCCAGAGATCACGTCTTCTCGATGTATCAACACTGCCACCTGTCTGGAGATTTTTGGGATGCGTGGCTTGCAGATAATGCAGGGGCAGTGCAACGGTTGCGAAGCAAGTGTTTGTTCAATCATTCCTACTCTTCTTATTGTTACAAGAATTGTACAAGTATTACCATGTTTGAGTATATGATTGCCATCCTTATTTTTTTGGCACTATTCTGAATATTGTGTTTGTTCAACCGTTTGTTCGACCGACCATGTCTGAAGCAACTTGTGTAGGTCGTGTTTCGGGATAAGGTCGTAGTCGGTGGCATACTGAAGAATTACCGGGTTTCTGACCAAAATTTGGGTACGGGCGGTCAGGTTTTCGAGCTTAAGCTACCATAATGGGTATATACAATCATTAATATGGTTTCCCTAATATAGTATCTGAAATAAAGGTCCATAACAGCAACCCAGATTACCACTCAGAATAGCCGGGCCCTGTGACAAAGCCCACGGCAAGCCCTTCTAAGAGAGCGGACTTCGATTTTCAGAAGCTTCAAAAGCTTGAATAAGGGAACATAGGGGTACAATATTGGGCTATATAGGCATAGTGGAAACTACTTATATATGCATATCGGACAGAAAGATGGAAACTACTGAGTAGGGTTTAGGTGTCTAGACTATCCCAAGAGATCTTCATCCGGATGATCTCAGCACCGTCCCGAGGCTGTGTGTCCCTCCTGTCGCTAGGGAACCCCCTGGCGCGTCCGCCTTGCACAGGTCCTGCTATGCAGTTGGTTGCAGGGGCTTATTCGCCTTGATTTCTGAGGGATTCAGTGATTATCCGCTGAAGCTCCAGGCTTCAGCCCATACTCTCAGACCATAAGGCCAGCCGATATTGCTGGCCTAGCTGTGGTGTGAGCGCGGCACTCTGGGTGAAAGCCGTTCCGCCGTCCTTGACAAGAAAATCAAGGATCCTCAGAAACATATGTACAAATTTAATCCTTGAATCCTGAGAGGAAGTTTCCAAAGACAAGGGCCAACTGGGTTGCTGTTAAGGAACTGAAATTAAGTTGCCATAATGGCTGTATATAGTACGTGATTAATATGGTTTCCCCAAAATAGTAACTTAAATTAGGTTCCTTAACAGCAACCCAGCCCAGCAAGGCTACAGCGGCGGAGGGCCTGGATATTATGCTGCACTGCGTGCCATGAATGCTGCACCGGGACAGGAAAACTTCACTTTGCCGGACACTTGCCGCATCTACAGTCCCAGCATCAGGGTCTATGGGTTTGGGGTTTTAAGGTTTAGGGTTTAGGGGTTTCGGGTCTAGGGTGGATTTAGGTTTCAGGGCATGGTTAGGCTGGAGGGTGCAGTTCTTGGCCTGAGCTTCTGAGTGGGTGTTACGGTGTTACAGAGATTTCTATCAAGATTTCGTCGGGATGGTTTTGTAATGGTTGTGGAGGGGTAATGCTGGGAAATGGGCTCCTGAAGTCTTATCAGTTTTGCTCTTGGGAGTAATCCTGGGAAATATTCCCGACAATATTATCATATACCCCACCATGGGAACACTGAAGATTAACAGGGGGGTGGGGGTTTGATATTTGGTGGAGGGGATTATTTCCGTCAGTAGCTGATAACAAACGTGGTATCTCCGCCGGCCAGCAGCCCTACAAGCAACATGCACTTTGCAGAAGCGCAGCCGTTTGTCCGGGGGTCACGGGACATGAGTCTGGGACAAATAAAGCTCTCTCAAGATTCAGCATTGTGGATCCTTTTGTCAGGGTTCCCAAAATATCTTAGCATTTCCTTTTTATCTACGGCTTGCCGAAGTTAATAAAAAAAAGAAAAAAAACGCATCTGGAATCTGGGCATGCCGCATGTCCACCTTCAGGTAACTATGGATGCTCCCTCATTCTTTGCTGCTTCTCATAAGGTCTGTTTTAACTGAACCCCAAATTTGTCAACAAGCCTGGAGCGCTTTGCCCCGGCAAAGATCTGAACATGAGCTTGGAACAGGGGGGAAAGTGTGATCCCGCAAGGAATTCCCTGCGTTTGAGTAGTGGTTGCGGAGCCTCTCCTCATATACACGGGGCTTGAATAGCACCACTGAGGATACCTTCGGAAAGTGGATCGAGAACTGGGTTACCAAGCCCCATTTTGGCTTCTACGGCGTGTACGAGGATGAATTTCACTGCTACTTTCCCTTCAACATGCCCTTCTGCTTGAATGGTTTGGGATTTAGGCGGTCATGAAGTTGGGTTCCAGTCCCTCTCTGAGGTGTCCTTCCCGAATTGAGGAACCGCATGAGAGATGCACTAAAAGTGCGTGATTGCTGTTTAAAGGGGCCTGGTCATTCCGCAGAACTCCTTGACAGGACTGTAGCGGCTGACCCGCATAGAGTTTCTTTTGGTCTGACTGCGTGTCTTACCTAACTCCTTGTCGTGTAAGGTGCTATGTGCATACGGCTTCGCAATCACAACATGGGGTTGTGGCCTACTTCAAGCCCTACAGCTGCCCAAAAACTACATCTGAGAACGGCGTCTGGTAATTGTTTTACTTGCAGCTGGCTATGTGAGATGGGAAGCTTTGCAAGATAGCAGGGGAGTTGACTTGCGGATTGTTTGTCCTGCCTTCCTCAGAAGTTCAAGCTGTCACAAGACCCCCTGTGCTAGGAATGCAAGCTCGTTTGGCATGACAGTCATTTTCACGATCGGTCTCATTGCTATGGCACTTCTTGGGCTTTCTGTGTCAAAGGCAGTGCTCGCGGCTGACATGCCTTCACCCGAACGAACGGAGAGCTGAGCCAGATGTCTCCCGCCACAGTTGATGTGTGTTGTGTTCGCGAAGGGAGTCTCGGCTTACCCTAAGGCCATAAACGTCCAAGTATTCCAATAGTAGATAGAGCCCAACGTGTACTTTGGGTCCTACTTTTGGGAACTTGGCCCTGAATTAAAGCTAAATTTTCTGTAGGATCTCGGGGCTCAGATGACTGAGAACCTACAGGTGCTGCCCTAGCATGCAGATTGGCGATGCCGCCTTCCAGCAAAACCCTCGCTCCCAAACCCGAAGCCCTGAAAGTTACAGAGGTGACTCAGCAACCAGCAAGCTTATTGCTGCTATCTGGGTTGCTGTTAAAGAGCTTAGTTCAATAGTAGATAAGCGGGTTCCCTGATTATAGTTTAGGTTCCTGAACAGCAACACAGGTAGTAGATTGCTTCTGAAGCTCTTGCTTCAAGGTAAGGAGCCCAGAATTTTACACCTTTCGTTACGCCATTGAAGGAATCAACGCTTCTTTAGATGCTGCGCCGCTACGGTACGGATGAAATGTGCAGGGTTCACTTAGTAAGTATCTAGGTTTTCCCCCCCACCCTATACAGATTTTTCAGTTCTGAACAGCATTCAATGCAGGTTCCAGTCCAACAACATTGCCGAGCATTAATCTAAGGCTGCCGGCGCTATCAAGCATATGATGTCAGCCTCCCTGGTGGGCGTGACAGAGGCTGCGGTGGCTGTATGACAGGATAGCACGTCGGCTTTTCGGTGCAATATTTCAAACTGATGATCATAGCGATTCTTTAGGCATGTTCAGTGTTGTAAAAAGTAGGTCAGCAACAATATTGGTGGTAGGGGCAGCAGTAGGAAAGTAGTAGTTTGCATGCGCATGATGGAGGCTGCCCCACTTCTGGTTTCGCACTTAAACTCTACACCCTAAACGGCATGGGTCTTGAGGCCACTGGTGTTCATTCCCGTGTATATACTCAGCTCCCGCCACTTACAACCAGTTCATCTTTGAACCTGCAAGTACAACACCGAGGATACCTTAAAGTTTTGGATTTTGGGTTTCAGGGTCCACCCCCCAACCCATGATCATGGAATCCTGGTTGGCCCTATTACCTATTTAATATCCATGTACTCCTGCATGCCCATGGAGGCATATCATGAGTCAATGTGCCTCTTCTCTGCGAAGCTCTTAGGCGCACGAGAGCTGGGAGGGACAAGGGTGCGAATTCAGTTTGCAGAGGACCTGCGCATTTGTATTCAGAATATAACGGCTTACCTTCGACATTGCGCAAAAAACAAGTATCACAGAAGAACTTTGCAAAACTATTGAATCAGATTCTTGATCCTGTTCTTGTTATGTTTCGGAGATGTGGTGAAGCATGTTGAGCTCCAGAATTGGAGTTGCCATCTGAGTTGGCAAAGCTTGGCAGGCACCCTTCCCAGCCATTGTGACTGTACGAACCCCGAAGCCTGGGCCGCTTTTGAGGCGCGGATTGGGTTTGGAAATTTTCTAAAGATTCAAAAGCCACCTTTCGGTGGTTTTTACATGAGGTGTGATGAATGTTGGGTTTTACGTCCCTTGCCTTCATCCCAGCCCAGCGAGTTGGGCTTCAGATGAGGTAATACTACAGCAATGATGGTTACAAAGGTTGAGGCGTGTTTTGATGTTGGTTTGGTTGTGCACAGAGACTAGCATTCTTCGTGTAATTGTCATTCAGCTGCAGCAGGACAGTTCAAATTTCTTTGGCCAACGGAACTGAGAAACTACATGTGGACAGTTTTTCGTCGATGGCTTTTTGCTTCCCCATCATGTTTCCTGCAAGAATTACCCCCCAGAATGGAGGCCTTTCACGCCAAGGCTTGGCTAATGCCAGGACACGCACAAAAACGAAGGTTGAACGCCATAACACCAGCTTCTTCAGGATCGTTGGTATCTGGTGAGTTCCGAATCAGAAAGGTACGTTTTTGAACAGCGTCTTTGCTCGGAGACTTGCATAGGTTTACAGAACATGTTGCGGGGTTGTAGTTCCGGGACTTGTTTTGGCATGTGCCGATGCAGTATGGGAGGCCACTGATGAGGATCATGGGGCGACTTGGACAGCTCTTGGTCGAGTTGGGGTCATCGAAGTCGTTTGTGCTTTAATCGTGTTGGTCATCAGTTTGTTCTTCTTACCGTTTTGTGGGCTCCCCACATTTTGAATCACACGGCCTGGCTGAGTGAGTAGCTTCATGCAGTCTTTTGGTGATCATCAGCCACTGAGTGCTGACCAGAGTTGCCGACATCCTGAAACCCCCAAGGTCTCCTAAACGCAGGAAGAATCCAGAGTACCCTTCGACCTTGATGGGCCCAAATGCGTAACTGCAGTATGAGGATTCCTTATGTGCGACCCGAACAAGGAACTCTAAGTCTCAAAAAGTACCAACTTCCTCTACCGTCCGGCTCTGGGGCCAGGTTGGGAAACAGATATGAGTACTCTTTTGTGACTGGTGCGCAACAGGCAAGTCTACTACGGTACAACTACTCAGCGCCTTCGCTTGAGCTAAGCATTGAACATCAAAACCCCAAGGTTCTGAGTCCCAAGCCCCGAAGCTGTTTTAAAGCCCCAAAGCCATGGGCCCCAAATCGGTTGTAGCCAAGGTGAAGTACGAAGATACAGTCGAGGCCCAGTCCCAGGCAGTCCTCAAAGGACCCAGAACCTTGGAGGGGGTGGGGGGCTCTGGATCTGATGGGTTTCAGGGGATCCGGGTTCAAGACCTTGTAGCATACAAGGTGGGCAGCGTACCGTTGGGGATGGAAGGTTCGGCGTTTTGTCACACTTTCATACAAGAATCGCTGAGGGCTATCCTTTTTCCTTAACTTAGAAGCTAAAGCTTCTACCATGATTCGTAGGGAGTAGGCCGGTGACCGTGAGACCGCAGATTATTCACTCCTACAGCCACCTACAGGCTGGTAGTCTACGTGCTTGTCTTTCGGGGGTTAGTATAGGGGAATAAACGAGTACAGTATGTCACGATTGTGTATTCCCTTATTCCCTACTAGCCACCAATAAAGTTTTGTTGTTCTATCCATGCTCGACACGTGGAACCCCACCTTCAATCAACGGATCGCTTGGGGACCATCCTCTGGGAACAGCTTTTCTTGATGAGACGCCTGCAGGAGTTGACTCTTTGACAGAAGCGGACCGGCAACACGGCTGATTAAGTGTATACGGGTGCTGTACCACATGGCTTTGGGCATGATGAGTCTGCACTTGGATCTGCGGGATTCTGTTGGAGTGGTTATGAAAACAAGAGGGGGTTGGCGCCGGATTTGTGTCCAGTTAGGGTGCTATCCAAGTGTTGTGGTGGCATGGCGCGCGGTTTCGGCCGTTCAGGTATTGCCTTTGAGGAGCAAGTTGGAAGGGAATTCTTGGGCTTCTTCTGAGGTTAAAATGGTAAACATGTGGGAGGCTCCTAGCAGACCGCTACATTTCTAAGGTGTAGGTATTTCTGGACTTCTCCACCCATTTCGGAATCACACAATTTGCTTTACATAGTCGCAGGGATGACCTGCTCTTGTAAAACATGGACTCAATTTCTTTCGATGGGTGGCATTTTGGCAATTTGGCAAGGCCAGCTCTACGATCAGTGTTGCTACCCGATTCAGGCTGCTGTACAATGCCACGGTCGTGCGCTTCATCAAAGACATCAAGGCCTGACAATCAGCAAGGGTAGCAGGCGCAAAAGTGCAGAGTGGGCAAACAGATCCTTCTTTCCTTAGGGATGATCTCTCAGATCCGATTGCTCTGCTTTTGTTGTCTTTGGTTCAAGGGGGAGTCGCTTCTTTCAGCTGTCAGCTTTGAATCTGGGTTCCTGAGGCTACGGCTACAGCAACTGAAGTGCCAAGTAGCAACATTGCACAAAGTTTGGCTGCCGCCCTTGCCTCCTTGGGTTTACTTTGTAGATTCCACGTCTGCTATTTGGACACCTTGTGTGGGAGCTGGAGAAGGGCCTCCACTGTAGAATCTTCAAAGCCTTAGAAGCTGAATTCAGAAGACATGCAAGAGAAGAAGATGGGCTTTTGATGCCTGACATGCTGTCTTTTGGCTTGAGCCGAGAAGCCACAGGACGTGGAGAGCACCTTCGGCGTGAAGGTGGGTCTAGATTGCATCGAAGTTTTGCAGAGCTTGGGTTTAGATGTCAGGAATTCGTATAGCGCCGCTACTGTGTTGTGTGGTGCGCTTTGTGCAGGACAGCGTTCACACTGCTACCAAATATCTAATCCTAAGCACCGGATTAATTTGGGGGGGCCCTCCCCCCCCCCCGCCAGAATAAGA